AGAGGAGAGGAGAGGAGAGGAGAGGAGAGGAGAGGAGAGGAGAGGAGAGGAGAGGAGGGCACAGCAGGCTGGTGTTTTGCTCTGATAGTAGGGTAAGGGAACAAGGATCAAGGACTTTCTTTGCAGTTAGGCTTTTGTTCTCAAAATGAATTTTTAATGGATCCTATCCTGTTGACATCCAAAGGCAAATAGACTGTGTGAGATCCTTCTGCTCTTGTTGACAGCACCATGTTCCTAAATTTTAAAGCAGTGGTTTTGTTTGAGGAGTAGATTTGATGGGCTCTGTGTGCTAAACTATTTGGGATTCTGCTCACCAGGACCACAAAGTAAACTTTTGCTGACAAGAAGGAGGAAAAAAATATCAGAGGAGGAGGAAAGAATAATAAAATATATTAGGAGTATGTGGTTATGAAAGAATCTGCTGCAAAACCAGAAAAATGCTGGAAGTTACAGTAGTCAGGGAGCAGCTGGAGAGAGCAACAGACAGCACAAGCAATAGAACATGTGGGAAATGATGGGAAATGAAGCATGAAGAGGAAGAATTGAAATCAAGTGAAAATCAAATAAGCCAATGCCACTAAAGCTGCCAGTTTAGAGTAATTAATTTGGATTTGCCCTTCTCTTTGGCTGCTTTTTAAATTATTATTATTAATCCTTAGATGGAGTCCAGTCATTCACCTTTACTTATTTCTGTAATCTGCCTTTGCTTTTCTGTTGGTATTCCTGAATAAGACATGTATGGGGATGAGACAGGAGTGGGGGCTGGGATGAACTGTTCTCACTTGCCTGTAAAATATCTATTTTAATGTCTTACAGCCAGAAAAGAAGCTTGGTGTCAGGCAAACCAGACTGAGGAAGAAAATACTAGAGGAAAATATTGTATTGATCAAGTTAATCTTAACAATGTCAGGAGGAATTATACATAGCTCAAGATTGTTCTGAAAAATTCTACAGCATCATGGACCTCCTCACAAATTGGTGTGAAATGGAGAAGGGTTGAAGGATAAGCCCAGGGAATATATGAGTATCACAGAAATTGTTTGCAGGCTTCCACTGATGTGTTGCCCCTTAGTAATCTCACCTTCCCCAATCAGTAGGAATGAAATTATTAGTTTAAGATACAAGTGGTTTAATACCCCTAGATGTAAACTACAGTCAAATAATAAAATAATTTTACCATGTAAATAAAAATAATTAGTGGTAAAAATAGTCCTAATTTTTTTTAGGTAATAAAAATTTGCAAATCATGCTGTCATGAAAAGTCACAAATCTGTGACTTGCAAACAGTAGCTGTATGAATGGAGTGATTAGTATCTTGACTGTGCTCTCTATTTGACAGGGTGAAAAATACACACTTAAAAATACAGTAATTGAATATCAGTTGCAGCCTTTTAAACTGATGAATAGAAGATTACCTATCCTACATAGGTGCTAATTTGAGAACTGGTTGTTTTTCATTATAGAAGCAATACATACTTTGTTGGGTGGTTCGATTGGTTTTTTGTTTGGTTGGGTTTTTTTATTAAAAACCCCACAAGATTATTAATACCAGATTCTGGGACATTTTTAGTATGAAAAGGAAGGCATTTTCCAAAGGCAGGAAATTCAAAATGAGAGTGGAAATTCTGCCCTAGAGCTTTTTTCCATAGGAGAGAGGTTGATAGAGTTATTCTAGCAGCCTTTTGGCTTGAGAATAGCTCTGCCTTGGGAATGAATAGGTTTTCACAGAGGTCTGGAAGTTCACAGGCTCAGCTGTGGTGTCTCAGCTCAGTTCTGTGGCCAGCACTAGAGGGCACAGCCTCAGCTCTGATGGAGCCCTACCAAAAAACCCTCAGCTGGGTTGGTTTGGGTTGTTTTTATTCATTCTACCCTTTATCTAGAGGTTTTCTTTAGACATTTGTCCATTTTTATCTCTGCAATTTCTAAATAAAAGTTTCCTGTACTGGTATATAATTAGTCCAATCTTCCCTCTGGATTTGAACACATCTCTAGAATTAACTTCAGTGGTTTAACTCAAGGGAAATCCTGCCCTTGTCAATGTCCGCACAGACAGCTTAAAGAATTTTTTTACAGAATGACATTTCCTTGCATATGGCCATAGTAATGTTCATAAAATGTTGGTCACCTTGGCAGAAAAAGGGTTCTGGGGGCAGAAAACATAATCAAATGGAACCTGAAGGAGAAAGTCCAAACCTTTGTATTTTAATATGAATAAAATTCAGAGTAAGATGACACTATGAATTTTCTTTAGCAGGAACTATGGTCTCAGTTCTGAGGAGTACTTGACCATTTCTTTGCTCGCTTTTATTCCTAAGGTTGACTGCATAATCTACTCTACAAACCCAGCATTATTGCACCAGGGATAAATGCTACAGCCAAAAGCTAGCACTACCCTGCCATGGTCAGAGTGGTGCTTTATTTTGGTAGCTGAACTGGAAGCATTAACTGGAGAAGGGCTTTTATTGTGCTGCCTGCTTTTCTCGCTGCTTTGCAATTGACAAAGCATCATTTATCACGCTTTGCATTCCAATTTTTCTTTGCACGTTTTCCAGCTCATCATAACATAATTATGTTTCTGTTTCCTTCAGCCAGGGGCTGATACTTTCTTTTACTAAGACAACAGCTGCACTGCACAACCTTGATGAATCCCCATAAGGGTAAAGAGAGTCCGTGGTGCTTGTTTCTGCCTTGGCAACCCAAATGTTCAAGCTCTTTTTTTTTGTGACAAATGCTGTTTTAAAATGCACCCAACCCTGATGCTTTCATAGCATTTCTCAAAATTAGGTTTTATATGGTTAATTAGAGTTGAAATATTAAACATTCTGTCTGGTGTGTAATTTTAAAGGCTTCCTTTGTAACATTTCTGTTTATGGTGTTTATAGGTTATACACTCCAGGATGGAATTTAGAAGGCTGTAGTTACTGATGTGGAATTTGTATTTTGAATGAAATTGACTTTATGTGTGACAATAAGCACAATCTGAAGGTCTGTTTTATGTCCCTAAAAAGCATTTTAAGGCAGCTTTCACAGTACAGGTGAATCATTTCCTTGATTAGAGCCTCAGTTGCTCCAGCCACATTGTGACATAAAGGTAATTACAGAAACCCCATTTCTGAAGGGCATTAACTGCTAGTGATGGAAAAAGACTCACAGTAATTTTATTATCAGTTGTTGAGATATTTTATTTAACTGTAATGTAGTACTCTGATCTTGAGATTTTAAAGTACTTCAAAAAGGAAGAATGATTTCTGTATTTTACATAGGAGAAACCAGCACAGAGAAAAGTAGGGCTCAATACTGGAGGCAGAGGGCAGAATCCATTCTTAATGCTCCTGATTTTGTTTACCCAATTATACTGTTATTAACTCCCACCTCATCTCAAAATCTATCAGAGCACTGTGTACAGTGGAAGCAGCAACTTTTTCAGCCACTGAAGATTGCCCAGGTTGTAAATATATGGGATATTGTGGCCTGGAGAAAACCACAGACTGGAAAATTGCATTATTCAGGGCAACATTTTCCCTACAATTTTGTTTTCTATCCTGTTGTTCTGGTGTTATTACTCCTGACATCATAATTTGAAGAATGTTTGTATTTATACATAAAAATTACAATAAATCTGTACATGGAGACAAGAGTTTAACTGATATGATCAGTCTTATCAGCCATATCTCTGTGCTCCATGATCTAAGGATTCTTTGGGACACTTGAGAGTGTTTTAGTTTTGTGATGTTGGAGCTCTATCCAGCACAGTGGACACTGATGCAATTGCCTGGAAAGCAATTAGATGTTAGGTGTTGATGGCAACTCTCCCTGCCCAGCCAGAGCCAAATTCTCTCAATAGTTCTACTGTTGATAAAAAAGGCAGTGGGCTGCTTGTTTTGGAAAGACAATGAACATGTGGCTCATGAGAGGAGCTTGCCCTGTGCTCCTTCTTCCTTATAATCCTGAGGCAAAATCTGGCATATTTCACTCAGATATATTTTAGCTTTTTTGTCATCTATCATCAGTTTCTTTACAGAGTCAACTCATGCGCAATATAAGATTTGCATTCCCTTTCTGATTCATGTACAGTAATTACTTCCTAACATCTGACTAACAGATTTTGTAAGAAAAGTAACTCTTCAAATACTAAGAAAAAAAAAATAATGTATGAAATCTTTGAAATCTCTATTACTGGGTTTGTGATCCACAGCTGACTGGATTCATTTCCCAGCCAGGAAGCTGGTTCAGCAAAACAGCTGCATTAGTTATTTAACTGGAGGCCTTATCCTGCTCTTGCTCACACTGATGTAAAGTGGGAATAGTACCAGAGAAAATAAAAAATACCCCTAGTGTGAAATACATGTTACAGAAAAAAATAAAGCATTGGGCTATGGAACAAGAAAAGAACTGTAGCAGGTACTCTGCCATCCTAGTATAGGTGTTGGGCAGCATCTTAATGTCTTAAAGAAACCTTACCCCAAAATACACTGCTGGATCCTGGGAGGGCTCTTTTACAGAGGTAGCACCAGGT